TCGTAGTTCGTTGACGCGTGAAACCGTGACTAACGAATTGCGTGGCGAGATAGCCGATAACCAGGAGGCACTTGGAAAGATCGAGCTGGCCGCTGGCGACAATGCTTTGTACATCAATGGTATCAAGTTTGAAGCCGAAGAGCTGGATTTGTTCCAGGTGAATACAAACGCGCTTTTGGTACATTTATTTAGTTGCTCGACACATTGAAACAAGAGGAAAAGCTGAGCACTGGCTTCTTCAACATGGGTCTCCGTCGCGAATATCTATCCATCCTCGTTTCGCTTGATGTCTCTGCTGAAGAGACCAACTATGGCGTTGATGACCGCGATGCCGTACCATTCTATCTGAACAACTTGGATACCGACAAGCGCTATAGGTATTTGTGTGTATTGGAATCGTAGGCAATCTTTTATTTTCAGGCAATGGGGCAATTCGGTGAAGCTGATGCTACAGCCTTACTATCCTGGCATGATTCGCCCGATCGCTCGCAACTTCTTTACCTTGATTATCGTTGCTGATCCCCAAGAAAATGAAAGTCGCAATTTGCTGAAGATCTCTGAAGCCTTCTTGCGACATGAGATCCCGCTTCGTATTGGCATCGTGTTCTCCGTCTCGCCGGATAAGGAGGTCGGCGGACTTTCCGCGATTGACCGTCCTGTTTTCTAGAATTCTGGGCTGACGGATGCTGGCGTCGCCGTCTTGAATTTCTTCAACTTCGTGATGGTGGACAGTTCGACAGAAGTGGCCCTTCAAGCTGTCAACAAGATGTACGCGTCGATCGCGAAGAGCGAAAATCTCACTGTAGAACATGTACACCTGCATTTCAAGAAAACCTTCAAGGTAGTTATAAGATTTGCAACTTATGTTCCCATTCAGGATGCTGATATCGATGAAGTTTTCGGTCCTAATTCCGACTACGATAAGGGCCGTACACAAGGAGCTGCCTTTTTGAAAAGGGCAGCCATTGGACAAGCGCCGAAGGTCCTCGTTAATGGATATCCATTGTCTGACGATGGAGTGAGTGATTATTTCACTAACTTAGATATGTTTTAAGATTACCGGAGATAAGTTCGAAGAAACGTTGATGATGGAGATTATGAAGCGTACCCCGAAAATCCAGAAGTCAATTATGGATGGAGCGCTCAAGGTTATTAATTAACCTGCATGTATTTATTGTGGACTTTCTCAGCCCGGTACCATTGTACTTCAACTTTTCAGGACAAGACTAACGTTCAAAACTGGCTGCTCGAGCAACCTGATATCATGCCACGGTTGAACAAGCGTATTCTCAAGCCCGCTGTCAAGGATTCGATTATCGATTTCACTGGTATATTTGTCTGTCTTTCTGTGATGAATTGCTCTAGATAATGCTCCATGCAAGGCACGCAAGCTCAACGAATTTTTGGAATTGACGAGTGCTGCAAAGAGTATCTGCGTCTTGGATAAACTCAGCTACTTGGCAAAGTCAGTCCTTCACGTGGATTGATATGATTTCTGTTTAGGAGCGAAGAGGACACCGTTCGTCCAGTCACGATATGGGTTGTTGGTGATTTCGAGACGGAACGTGGACGTGATCTTGCCTATTCTCACATCAAGCACATCAAGCATAGGTCCGTTTTGCGCCTTTACTCGTAATTATCTACTTTTAGCTCTAATGTCCGCATCGCTTTCCTGCCCAATCCAGAGGATTTGGATCAAGCCTGCCGAGCCGACTCTGTCTCTTCAAAGATTTTCGCGGCCCTGCGATTGTTGCCACATAATCAAGCAAAACAGATGATTACCAAGTTCGTGAAGGTATGAACTTAGCTTGGCGCTCAAAACTCAAAATTAGGAGGAAAACCAGGGGACGACAATCGCTGATCTCGCGGTCGGCGGTATGGATGTTGAGAAGTTCGAGAAGGATCGGGCGTTGCTTCCGCTTTGCGATCACATCAAAATGTATCAAAATTTTGTCAACGAGGTTTGTGTACCTTATTTTTTTGAACCTAGATTTAGGTGGCTGGCATATCCGCCGGAAATGCAGCAATCATTGCAAATGGCGTGATTATCGGTCCACTGGAAAACGATGAGGCCTTGTCGGAAGATGATGTGGTTCTGCTTGAAAAGTTGCTTGTCGCGAAGGGGGCGAAGGTATTGTTGCTCTTTATCTGACCTAAACGTCCTCTATCTCAGACCGTTGCTTCCCACATCAGCAATTGGGAATTGGACAAGACGAAGGGAAAAGCGTCCAATTTGGTTCTACGCATGTACTCTCTGATTGGTCGCTCGTCATCAACCCAGAAGAGAACCTGGGTCGTTCTTTCTGATGACAAACATAGCACCGTATCTTTGCACGCCGACGATCCGCTGAGGGCTACTATTGATGTGGTTGCTGTCATTGATCCACTCAGCAGGTTTGTATTTCAAGGTTCTATGGCATACAAAAGGGGTCTGGAGGCGATGACTTACACTTTTCATTTAGAGAAGCGCAAAAGCTCTCGCCAATTCTTCAACTACTCCGCAAGAGCATCAACTGCGATTTGAAGCTTATCATGAATCCAAAGTCCAAGTTGAGCGAGCTGCCACTCAAGAGGTATTAGGCTAACGTTCGTCCTACCCGTCTTCTAGGTTCTACCGCTATGTGGCCGATTTTGAGCTACAATTTGATGCTGCCGGAAATATCGTGAACCGCATGGCCCTATTCACCGATCTGCCTACCAAGCAGCTCTTCGCTTTGAGGTAATTTTGACGTGATTTTTGCATTGCCTTTAAGCGTTCACCCGCCCGAGGCCTGGATGATTGAAGCAACAGAAGCCGAATACGATTTGGATAATATTCAGTTGGATCAGGTTCATGTGACTCGGTTTTCTTATGTGGTATTTAGGTGAACAAAAACGTTGAGGCAGTCTTTGAGCTCCAAAATATCCTTCTCGAGGGTCATTGCTTTGATGAGGTAAATTGATCTACTATTCGTGGCTCTATTTTTGAGGATTCCAAGTTATGATTTTAGGTAACCGGTGGCCCTCCCCGTGGTCTACAGTTTGACATCGGAACCTTGTCTAAACCTACTATGTACGATACCATCGTCATGGCAAACCTCGGCTATTTCCAACTTAAGGTTAATTAAGCCTTTTTCGAAAACTACGTTATTTTAGGCCAACCCTGGTGTCTGGATGTTGCAGCTCCGAGAAGGTCGTTCCCGAGATCTATATGAGATTCGTTCTAATGTCAATGCTGATGGAGAGGCGGACGGTCGTGTGCGTGTCATCATAAAGTCCTTCAATGGTATACTTGGCGGTGAAATTAAACATCGGCAATAGGTAAAATTATTCGGCTTCGTGTTGCGAAGAGAGAAGGCAAGGAGGACGAAAAGTTACTAGAAAGTGGCGACGAGAACTCTGGCATTTGGGGATCGCTAAACAGCATTGGTTAGTTTTATTTCTGACACTTTAGGCCGGAAATATTATTATCGACTCTTTGACTTTTTAGTCGGCGAGAAGCACGAGACTATCAACGTTTTCTCTTTGGCTTCTGGTCATTTATACGAGCGCTTCATGCGCATCATGATTCTGTCGGTGATGAAGAACACGAAAAGCCCTGTCAAGTTCTGGCTGTTGAAGAACTACTTGAGCCCGCAATTCAAGAAAAGCCTTCCCCTACTAGCTGAACGCTACGGCTTCAATATCAACTCGTCGAGTATAAATGGCCTCGGTGGCTGCATCAACAGAAGGAAAAGCATAGGATTATGTGGGGCTATAAGGTATATTGTCTTGCTTTTCGGTGATTTGGCTCTTTAGATTCTGTTCCTCGATGTGCTCTTCCCATTAGATACACAGAAGATTATCTTCGTTGATGCCGATCAAGTTGTCCGTTCGGATCTGCTAGAACTAATGAATTTCGACCTCGACGGGGGCTCCATACGGGTTCGCGGTTATTCGGCTTTAGCTTATTTGGTTCCAGCTATGTTCCATTCTGCGACTCCCGCACGTCGATGGAAGGCTTCCGATTCTGGAACCAGGGCTACTGGAAAAACCATTTGGCCGGCCGCCGCTACCATATCAGGTACCTTTTCGTTTATTTGTTTCCCTTGCTTGGCACCATTCCCGGTGTGCTGACCAAAATTTTACCTGGTTTAGTGCTCTCTACGTTGTCGACTTGAAGAAATTCCGCATGCATGCTGCTGGTGACCGACTACGTGGACAATACCAGAGTCTTTCCGCCGATCCGAACAGTCTCTCGAATCTGGATCAAGATTTGCCGAATAACATGATTCACCAGGTATTCAAAACGGTCTTTTGGTAAATTGTGATTTTAGGTGCGCATCAAGTCCCTGCCGCAAGAGTGGCTATGGTGCGAGACATGGTGTGATGACGGGTCGAAGAGCTCTGCGAAAACGATTGATCTAGTATGAAAATCCTTTTTTCATCCTGATCACTTATTTTAGTGCAACAATCCACAGACCAAGGAACCCAAGCTAGAATCGGCTCAACGTATCATTCCAGAATGGGTCTCCTATGATCAAGAAATCAAACGGGTGTGTTTTCTTAGATTTTTCTGGCAAATAACCAGTAACCTTACAAATTACTATTTCTAGGTTTTGAATCTGCACGTTGATGATTCGAGCTCAGCCGGCACACGGGATGAACACAACGAACTCTAGGCTGTGATATCAATTGATACTTGAAATTCAGAAATCAGATGGGTTGTGTGTTTTTAGCCAAATAAAGGGTTGTTTTGGTATTTTTTTTATTCTTGAAACTGAACACGCGAAATCCGATTTTTATTAAAGCGCTCCGGTACAATTGGCCCAGGTCTTTTGGTTTGGAGTGATGATCTAGCTTTCAGAAACCAAGTTTCCATAAAAAAACAACAGAGAGATACAATGATTCACAGCAAAATTGGAAGCTCAATAAAAAACATGCTATATATTTGGCCTGAAATATGCATATCCGGTTCCGTATGGTATGACTTTGAACTGAGTGATAGGAGGTGTAGGGAGGAAAGTTGACAACGAATGTTAAAGCTGTTGAAGGGAAGCGGCAATCATTTGTGCGTAGATAAGTTGATTAAGAAAGAGGGGATTTGATGAAAGGGCAGGAAGGAGATGGGGAATTGCTAATGAAGGGGCTGGAAGTTGGCCTAATTGGCCGAGAATGCCCGGGTATAAAAGAAGAGCTGGAGACAATGGACCACTCGTCATCATATCCACATCTGATTTCCCGCTTAAGCTGATCGGGCTCGCCTGAAATATATTGTGAATTACAATTTTTACTTTGCTTTCGACGGTAGTCTTCGTTTATGTAATGATGCTACTCACCTTTTCAACAGGACTATGTTCAACGGAACTGAGGCTGGCATTACTCTTCGGCTTCTCCAGTTCATTACAAGTCCTCTTCCTCTTCCGTGGCCGGTAAACATAATTTGGATGCTCCTTGAACAATTCATCCCGCAATTCTTTTGCCTGAATTCCGATTCTTTTTGATCGTGATACGATGGGCCTACCTTTTGCACATATGGTAGCTTCTGGTCATCGCTCATAGTTTTCCACTCGATGCCTAGCGCCTTTGAGATCAGTGAATTGTGAACTTTTGTAGAATTTGCCGTGATTTCTGCTCTCCGCATCTGTGCCCATACCTAGATGAATACAGTAAATAGGAAAAAGGAATTCCTACCATAAACGCATTCATCGGTCGCTTAATTTTTTCTCCTTCTGGGGTACGGTCAGTGCCGAATTCGCGTCGTTCCGCGGCCGTCCATCTCGACGCTTCGGGTACGGAAGATGGGGCGGAGTTGGAAATGAGCCGGCAGATGACGTCGACGAGACGTCAATCTGGATTGGTAGCGTGGGGTTTGGCTCGTATATTTATACCTTTAACTCCGCCATTAATGGTTGGGAAATCGTGATTGTGATGTTGATTTTTGGGGTACCCTGAAAAAGACATTTTTTTTTGGAAAGGTTTGGCTCGGAAAGCCAGTGAATAAGAAAAAAAATTGAAATATTTAATTAAGCAAAATGTTTTGAAATCTAAGGATTTTAATTTTGGGCGATTGTTAGGTCTGAAGATGTTCTTCTATTTGGGTAGATGGGCCCTCCCCCCATTCTTTTCAGATGGCTTTCTATGGCTTTTTGGGCTTTTCTCGATGGGCCGACCCGCCGTGTCCTCATCCTCCTCGCCCCTCTCACTCGTCCATCCCGAGTATTGTCCCGTACAAAAGGTCCACAAAAGGGATTCAAGGTCGTGGATGTGCTCAAGTAGTCGGAAGGGCCGAACTCCTTTCCCGGAAAAACGCCTCGGCAGCAAGGGGGGACCATGGATGAGTGAAAGAAACATCCTGGGTTGTGATTTGAGGTTTTGGTCGGCTCTCAATTAGGGAATTTTATTTTTCGGAGCAGACAGGATAATGGGCAAAATAATTATTAGATATATTTACTTGAAGGGGAATTTCGAAGAGGCTATTCGACAAAGCGCGCGAAAAATATATTATGGGAATTAATTCAGCCCGAAAAATGAATGTAAATGTGTTTATTACACGAAAACTTTGGTTTTTGAAAGCCATTGGTACCAATTGGTATTAAATTAAATAAAATCAAAGCCCAAAAAAACATCAATATCTAATGCCCCTGAAAACAATATTTAAGGCCAATTTTATTGCAAAGAAATTTCAGCTCCCCCCTCGTTATTTTTATCCCCAACCGCTCTTCTTTTAAAACCTCCTAAAAACCAAAAATAACAGAACAAAAACAAGAATAACATTAGAAAACGGGACTTGTGTGTTTCTAAGCTGCACAAATCAACATACGGATCAAGTAGATTCTGTTGAAGGAAGTAGAGAAGAATACGAACCGACCCCCCTGACAATACCTTCTTTCTACTACTATAAATGAAATCGCGTGGAGAGACTAATCTGCACACAAGACACCACATAACCATTCTGCGAGCGAACAATGCCGGTTCCCGTCCACCCCCATTCAGGAATGCCATCTTCCCCCCTTCTATATTCCAAAGCTGTCCGCCCGTTTTACAAAGAACAACTGGGGCACCGGGATATATAGGGTATGTTAATGTATATCCCCATATTGGGGATTACGTGGTTTAAAATAGGGGTTTAAAGGGACTGGGATGGCACAAAATCGACGGGTAATTTGCTGAAAATCATGGCTAGAATTTTACGGTCAGCACACGCTGTTTTGGGTCGATTCCGATAAAGATAAACCTATAATAAAACCTAATTTTGCTTTGAGACCTTTAAAAATAATTCTAGTTACTATTAAGCTTCAAAAATTCCCCATTACTTCATAGTTTAATAGATTCATAGAGATTCTTTGCGTTCAGATTCCTTTAGAATAAGGTAAATCTTTCGTAAAAAAATTATGAAAGCATAAAATATTTTTACAAAATGAAAAATCAAGCTCGCCATTAACCCACCCAGAGAAAAGCGCGTTGATTGGACAAACTCACCCCCCCACCAACATTCTTTCTTTCGAAATTCAAAGACCCCTTGATTGCGAATAGGTAACGATGGCCCTATGATTCTAAAAGTTTTTCTTCTCCCCACCCACCCGCCCAAACCAACAACAAAAACCCGCAACTCAGAATGTTTCCGCGACTGTACTGTGTCACCATACGGGTCATCCCGCTTTTCACCCACAAAAACAGACAACAATTGGTGAAGACATTGCCGAAGAATTCGGCTTTTTACCTGGCACCGCTTTTGTCACAAATGGAGGGTGTCTATAGATAAAAAAATTCCTATTATTTATGGCAAAATCGAGGCGTGTGCCTGGAATAATAGAGAAAACTGGAAGGACTGCGGGTCGGAAGGCCAATTTTTGAGAAATCATGCAAAGCCAAGTTTCAGGACCCGATTGCTAATTCTTGAGTTTGTCAAAGGATACAGGTGCACCGGGGTGGGGGCCGGAAATAAATTCCAGAACCCCACGCTTCCTGCAAATAGGAAAATACCCAAATTAGCGTCAATGAAAAAGTAGTTGTTTCTAAAAATTGACAAATCCGTGGGTCGACTGCAGGTGGTGGGAGAAGGGGGGTTTTTGGGAAGGGGCAATGGAGAGGCACACATCCGGGAAATAAAGGATGCGAATGGATTTGTCATGGCAATGTTCGCATGCATTGTTGTGGATGGGGGCGCGAGAGGGGGTGGAGGGTTGTATTTTTATTGGGTTTAATAATGGTGGTTGTGGGTATGTATGTATATTGAAAGGGAATGGATATATAGAAAAAATGGAAGCGAGGAAGAGGGAATTTTTGGTAAAAAAGGGTATCAGGTGGCTTTAATCGTTGGATGTTTAACTAGAGTGAAAATTTTTAGACTTAACGTGTAATGGAGAACATTAAAAAGCATAAATACGCTTTCGAGAAAAGACATAAAAATCAATAGAAAAGCTTAAACTAGTGTGCTTCAAAGATAGGTTTAACGTTATATGAATGTTAGAGGAAAATTACGTAATTAATTAGCACCAGGGTTGAAAAGCCGCTTCGCGACTTTTCAACCCTGGCCCCCGTCTTACCCTCCCCCCCCATACTTCGTCACATTGCATAAACACCTGAATTCGGTGCAGAAAAATGAAAAGCGTGTCCTCTCCGTCGTTATATAGGCTTCCCCCACTTCCGGTGCATGCTAATTCATTTCTAACAAAGAGCCTGAGCGAGATTCTCACAAAAACCTAATTTTAATATCGAAAACAGCTGATTTTAAAAAATTTTATATGCGTGCAGTCATGTCATGACCATTACGCGCCTAATCACGTATCATACATAACTTTAACTTCCTGCCCTATTGAGATACGACTGGAACATACGGACGGAAGTTGCATGCAAATGCACACACACACACACACACACACAAACACTAATTTTTTATATATAGTAGGATAATTAGCATACAAAGGCATAGAAAACAGGAGAAAACCCTGGAGCATCAAGCTAAAGCCAGTACCACCCTCCCTTGGAGTATACAAATTATAATGAATTCTCGAGACATCTGGAAGGGGACACCGGGTATTCGAGCCAACCCATCAATCTATGGTAGTCGTGTGAACGACACCTGGGGGCACAAAAGTGTTGCTCCTCCACAATACCCCCGGAGTAAGGGGGGCGGTGCTTATTGGAGGGATGCCATGGTTAGTTAACGGAACAACAAGAAAAAGGGGCGGAGCGGAACGGGTCTCGACGCCCTAATTTGCATACCAATTAAGTACGTTTTACCGCCTGGTTCTTGCATGAATACCGTATTGGCTATAATCGGACCCCGGGATTTTTGGTCTCAAAATAGCAATTGAGTTCCTAAAACGAGCACAATCTTTTTGTCTTGGCTTTGCGCTGTGGCTTTAAATGGCTTAAGCCGTTTGAACTGCAAAATACGTCATTATTGCTCAAAATGACAAAAAATCTGATTTAGAAAATTAACGAATTTAAGTCCAATTTAAAGATTCAAAACGTAGCTGAAAAAGTTGCATTAGTCCACAAAAATTAGGAAAATTTTTATAGCGCATAAACACAAAAACTCAAGCCATTGTTTGCAGAACAGTTAAAGTCGCATCTAGAATTCAGCCAAAAAGTCACGATCCTACTATATATAAAAAAATAGTGTCAGTGTGTGTGTATATTTGCATGCACTTCCGTTTGGATGTTCCGCACCTACAGCCTCAGGGAAGCATTTTTTCGATAGGGTAGAAGCGTGAATAGATAAAGAAGGGTGCCGAATCGACTGCACACACATAAAAGTTTTGAAAAATTGCTATTTTCGCTATCAAAATTCGGTTTTTGTAAAATTTTCAGCCAAGCTCTTTGTTAGGAAGCAATTAGCATACGCCGGAAGTGGAAATGGCTCATAAAAAGGAAGAGAGGGCGCTTTTCATTTTTTGGTCATAGGTTTTCGGTAATTCTGCAAAGTCAATACTTTCGTAGGTCCTAGACGGGGCCAGGGTTGAAAAGCCGCGAAGCGGTTTTTCAACCCTGGTTAAAAGCTATCATCCCCCGTCATCCGTTTAAAAAGACAAATGTTTCCACTGCAAAAACCAGCCCAAAATCCGTTGGCATAAACAGGCTCCCCTGGACGACGGGAAAAATGGGAGAAATCCGTTCCTGGGCTTCATCCCGGCGCGAAAAATGAGAGCACTAGCAAAGGTGGAAGAGGAAAGGGAGGTGGAGGAGGAGGAGGTTGAAGAGGAGGATGAGCCGGGCATACATCCAGGAAAAGCTGTTTGGCATCCAGGGATATAAGGAGTTCGCGAATGGGTGCGACGATAATTTTAGGGAAAGGGAAAATGGACGGATGGGGGGGAGGTGGATCAAAGGGATTTTGAACGGAAAATAAACGATAAAATTTAAGTTATTTGGTCTAAAATAGATGTTAATTAAAGTACGTAGTTAATATTTCTACATACCAAAATATGAAGCCAATACAATTTTTATGGGATGGGAAGCGAAACCATAGAAAGAAAAAAGCTCCAGTCGAAAGCACAAAACGAACGGACCCTATGCACAACCCCGAAATACCGTACCACACACACATCACGCCCGCCACCCAGGCAGAATCGCGGGAAAAAAATGGAAACTGCGTGAAACGGTCAAGAGAATAGGTCGTTTCTTTGGAGTGTTTAT